CCATCAAAAATGGAATCTTTTTTTGATCAGCAAAAAAATCTTTATTGATGAAAAAAACATACATTTCATATGAGATTACATCAATAGACATGAAAGAAGAAAGAATAAAGAAGAAAAAGAGAAACAAAGCACAATGTTGAAGTTGAATCAAGATCCCTTTCTTTATTAATCAAATGTATACAAACTGGAGTTGAACCATGACTGGTTGTTCTTGGACTGGAAAAGCTTTGGGTTGATCTTGAATTCATTGGTGAAATGAAAACACATGAGAGGAAGAGAGCGAAAGAAGTGTTTGAGACATTGAGATAGAGAACCAAAAACAGAACAAAATACACCACAAGCTCACAAAAGAACCAAACAACAAACAAAAAACTAGACTGACATACAGTACATATCCAATTCAAATACTTACTGTATGTAAAGTTGAATAAAAAGTCTTTTGAGTTGAATTACCCCATGAAACAAAAACAAGCATATTATGTCAGCCTCTCCACTATCAAATCATCTTCCATAAAATTAGTAAAGAGGAAGTTACTGAAAAAGATTTAAGCCCGAGAGGTCCAATGGAAATTCAAGAGGATGGTATTGAAAGAGATCTTAAAGAAAAAAAAAACCACATCTATGACTACACATATACATATATAACCATGAAAAGACAAAAATAAATAAGATAAAATCGAGAGCACAAAATCACAAAAGCATCAAATATGACAAAACTTGCCTCAGAAAAATAAAAGCATCACCAACAACTAATTTCTTGGCACTACAAAGACACTCCAGCCAGTTGTGAGTAAATGGCACCTGGGTTGCCCTGCCGAAGAAAGTTCGGTTATGTCTACTGACAAAGACTTAATAAATTTATTTTTTAAAGGTCAAATTTCACAAGCATATTTAAAAAAAATACTACAAACATCCTAAAATTTTGACCATTATACATTATTAACCCCAAATACCCCTTTTGTGTTAATAGGAGTGTTAAGAAAGAAAGAAGAATAAGATCCAATCAGAAATATAATCAACAAGCAGATGCATATTCAAGTTACAAGCCAACTCTGCCTCCCTCCATACACGTGTATGGAGGGAGGCAGAGTTGGTGCCAGCTATCACAGCTGGCACAAAATATCTACATAAAGTAGATGAACAGTGGTCGGCTGCCCAAAAATGCAATTTTGGCAAAAAAGAGTGCCGACCGGCACTAAAAAGTGCCGACCAGCAATATTTAGTGCCGATGGAGACAAAAACCAGCCGGTGGCCTCTAGCCACTGCCGGTGGTATGTGGGGGTGCCTCACAAGGCATTCCCTACCCCTCCAAGGCAAAACACAAGTGTTTGGTGCGAAACCAGATACTAAACGGTCGAGTTCGGAGATCCTGAGGCGAGGCGCGGAGCCGAGACCTCCAGGAACTCCAAACGAACACAAACATGGATGATCACCGAGTGTTCAAACGGTGACGTCCAAGTCTTGAGGACGGTCAAAAAATGGGGTGTCTACATTGCCCATTGAATATGGTAGACATCCAACATGATATGCCTTCTAGTACAATACCAGGAAATACTCTTAGCTTCACTAGAATCCTAATGGAGTGTTAAAATCACAGACACAGATCCCTAAAGAAAAAACCGTAAATAACCTGTATTCTCCACAAACAACCAATGCCATCAAAAAGAGGTCACCTGTTCAAAGTGTTCATTATAAATCACAACCCAACACCAACACCAACCACATACTCAAACTGTATAGATTTACAAATTGTCAGGTCAATGAATAGCCAACCATGACGCACCAATAAACTACCATTTTACTGCCAATATATGTCAAGAGGGAAAATTCAAAAAGAAAAGGAAACCATAACTACAAAGATCTACTGCTAGTGTCAATAAAGATCCATTGCATGTTTTTCTCTAATAACTCAACAAAAATGTTTATACAAATTTTACATATTGCACAAGATCTTAGCATTTTTTTTTAAAGTAAGTGACTAAAGTATTTCCACACCACTGTCTTCAGACAAAATGTTGATCTTAGCATAAAAAAAGGCTTAATTGAAATCTCTTCACAAAGTGTTCCATTCTCTAAGATACCTAAGATGACTAACCATGAACCTCAAGCTGTTGACATACATCAACAAATGGATATAGTTCAGTTTGACGCATATTTCGACAAAATCTAATCATGGTGCATTAACTATCTCTCGCATATTTGGATTTCTTAAGAGGGAGGAGGTAATCTACATTAACAGATCAACTATTTACAACATAAAACAGAATGAAGGTAATCACACATGCAATTATAGCAGAAGGTCTACTGATTTGGAGTCACTACTAGACATATAGTTCATGCAGGTCACACAACAGATATAATACATATCAAAAATAAAATAAAAATTAGTTTATTTCACCTCTGTAACTTTAAAAATTGGTTTAAGAAAATACATTCAGAATATCATTTGGCCCAGAGGAAAGAAGAGGGCATCGACCCAAAGAAGAGGACATCGATCTGCCACCCAACGGTGCTGTGCCATTGGCATCCAACAGCTCGAGAAAGCAAAAGGGAGAGGGACTACATTCAACATATCAGAGATAGAGAAGAGAAGAGGGAATCGACCCAAAAAGAGGATGCGATCTGCCGCCGTACAGCGCTGCTGTCAACAGCGCTCCGGTGCCTTTCACATTCGGCGATGCAGCAGAGCAAGAGGGAGAGGGAGAGGGAGAGAGAAGAAGAAGAAGAGAAGAAGACATTACCTGGATCGACTTGTGTGAGAAGACATTACCTAGATCGACTTGTGTGTGCCGTTTGATGGAGTGAGAAAGTGAGAAGGAAAGTGATGATCAATTGTTTGTTTATTCACTCAGTCAATTATTTTTGGCAATAAAAAATTAGGGTAAAGGCAAATAATTTATTGGCAACCAAATAAATTTGGTTGCCATAAATATTATTTATAATTTTTTTTAGCTACTAAAAATTTAGCCGCCTAAAGTCTGATTTTTTTTTTTCTCTAAAGTTTTAGTCGCCAATTTTTTTTTTCATTTTTTTATTTTTATTTTTAGCTACTAAAGTCTTAGTCAGCTAAAGTTTGCTTTTTTTTTTTTATTATTTATTTTATGGCTACTAAATATTTTGTCGCCAAAAATCTTTTTTTTCATTTTTTTTTTTCAACTACAAACTATTTTGTTGCTAAAAATATTTACTTCATTTTTGGCTACCAATTGTTTAGTCGCCAAAAACATAATTATATATATATATATATATATATATAATTTTATATAATAAAATATCAAACACTAACTAATTAAAGGACAAAAAAAATTCATAAAATCTGGGATTATTCATTTTTGAGCAATGCAAATTGAAAATATTGTTGGAAAATGTGGGTTGACATTTCATTTCATGGTTAAAACAGGTGGGTTGACAGCAGCATAATCTAACAGCTCCGGATCTCTCTCGAACACAGCCATGTCTTCCTCCTTCAGGCACACCCAAGCTTCAATCCCACCACCATCAAAGCTATCCAACAACACCATCACGTTTTTAAACGGCATGTAAACAGTACACACCCACACCGGCTTTCCCCACCCAAAATCAGCCTCATGTATCGGAAATCTACACCAGCTACCGCTTTATGGAAGTCTTCTCCGACGAAGAGGTGGGTAAGTTCGCGTTGGCCAAGAAATCTTTTTTTTTTTTTTGGGGGGGAAGAGAGTCGACCCTGACAGTAGCTCCGGGGGACTGACCGACTCGCCGCGTGCAGTGGAGGCCCAGGCGGTGATGAATGTGGCCATGGCGGCGGCGGCGGCCATTTTGTGATGAAACAAGAGCCCGATTGCTGCTCCACCGCATTCGAAGAAGGTTGATTGAATGAGAAGCAGAGGACTACTCGAATCGCCGTCATTTGATTGGATATTATTCAGAGGAAGGAATTTCCTGAGAAATCTCTCTGAAGGTTGGTTCAGAATTTGTGATAAATGGCAACGAGCTCGAGCTTCGACGAAAATAGCTCCATCGTCGTTGCAATCGACTGAGAAGTTGGCTGTGATTCTTCCTGCAAATGGGTAGAAAAGAGATAAGAGTGGATGGTGAAGAGGTGCAAAATAGCAGAGTGGTGGTGGCGATTGGAGATATATAAGATGTGGTGGATCTTTGTATGTAGAGAAGTCGCCTCTGGTGGCGGCGAACTGGAAGCTATATGTATTGATAGAGATGACAGCGGAATAGGTTGAGGTCCGGCGGGCGGCCAAGGCGAGGTTGCCCCCCGCCGGTGAAGCGAAAAATACTAAGTTCTTAACCTAGCTCTGATACCATGTTAAATTCAATGTATAAAGAGAAATAGAGAATTGTATAGATATTGATTGTATTATTGATTGATTTATATTATGTACATGGTTGGTCTCCTTTATATAGGAGATGTGGGTGGAGAGTAGGTGTAGTGGAGTAGGTGGAGTTGTGTAGTGGAGTAGGTGAAGTAGAGGTGGAGTTGTGTAGTGGAGTAGGTGAAGTGGAGTAGTTTTAACAATAATGGTGATAATGTTGAGGATTGTTTATAAACAAAGGCGATAAAGATCAGATAGGGAAGAGCATGTTGTCAATAAAGATCAAATAGGGAAGAGCATGTTGTCATTTATTGCATTATACACTGTTAAATCATTTTCGTTCGATTAAAACCCTAATCCGTTCAATCGAACAACCCTAATTTGTTAAATTGTTCAATCGAATAACCCTAGTTCTTTTCACTTTCCTCTTTTCAGATGCACGACTTTTGGAAGTGAAACTAGTAAGCAAGCTTTGATATATATATATATATATAAGGACAAATTAATCTTTTTACATATGTCATTCACTGTGTTAACAGTATACATTACTTCATTAACCACAGAAAAATTATGTGGTTATATAGAAAAATTATGTAGTTATATTTAAAAGTGAGGGATAATCCGCACGTGGGTTGAACAAAGAGAGGGGGAGAAGCGAAGTTTACCCTTACCTAGAACCCTCACGCATCTTCGCAGTTTTTATAAAATTCGCACATGCAGCGAAAATGAACGTTCTGACAAAAACCTTTTGGGGCTTTCCATCAATGTCGAAACATTGAAATAGTTTTCTTCTCCGATCACTGAAGAAGAAATCGAAATTTAGAGAGAGATGGAGAAGGCTGTGGTGACCTTTGACAAAGGCACGACCTTTTCTTCATGGAACTACTGTGACGAGAGATTGGCTACTGGTTCCATCGATGGAACTTTGGTCATTTTCGACTCAGTCGACCCGCCTTCTTCGTCATTCACTTGCACTTCTACATCCAGGGTTCGTATTTCGTAAGCTTCGTTCTTTGTTAAAATTTGCAATTTGTGTGTGTGTATATATGGGTTTTGATTGGATAATTATCTGCAATCCTTTTAGGTATGTTTGATTGGAAGGATTAAAGCATGGGATTGGGATTATTAATCCGTGGGCCCAATTATCCTATGTTTGTTTTGACACTTTGGTTTAGGATTATTAATCCAATGGATAATTAATCAAACAAATTTATAGGATTATTAGTAATGGGGTAGGGGTGGGATAGTTAATACACACTAATTTGATAAGATTATTAATACTTCACTAATAGTGAAGTGAATCGAACATGACCTTAGTCTGAATTGAATTCGAAGTTTGGATAATTGGATTCCATAGGGTTTTTATATGGCATTTCGAATTTGAGAATGGGTAATAATGGTGATAATGTTGAGGATTGTTTATAAACAAAGGCGATAAAGATCAGATAGGGAAGAGCATGTTGTCATTTATTGCATTATACACTGTTAAATCATTTTACATGAACTCTATGGCGGACCCAGAAATTGTGCAAAGGGGGGGGTTAAAACAAAATTATCTATATTTTAGAGAAATTGAAGTAAAATTATATAGATTTCGGGGACCAAGATACTAATTTATTTTATATATACACAAAATTACATGAAAGTGATGAGATTTTTCAAAGGCTTGGGGTGGCCAAAACACTAATTCATTTTTATAATTTCTGAAATTTGCATAAAAATAATGAAAATTTTCAAAATTTTGGGCAGCAAAGATAAAATTATTTAGATTTTGGATGGGCTGGAGTAAAATTATATTAAATTTTGAAGGGGCCAAAACACAAAACTATTTTATAAATATTCCAAATTGCATGATAGAAATGTGATATTTCAAAAGTTTGAAATGTTACTGAAAGTTGCTTCTAAAATTATGAGTATGTGACAAGGAAAGTGGCTCAAGGGAAGACTAGTCTAGTCAGTGGTGCATCATTGCTCATTGAGTATGAAGTTAAATTTGCATGTATTGATTACAGTTCTTGCCCTGATTATCTCATGTTTTTCCTGTATTCTCTCACACAATTATCATCTTTTTGTCATTCATGGTTATAGATTACAATTACATTTTGGTAATTGGATTTTTTAAACATGATGATGTGGCAGCAGAATTTTCATTGAGATTCAAACTTCTCAAAGTTTCATATATGTTTCCTTTCTTCTTCTTGTTCCTTTTTTTTTTTGGTCATCATTTTCTTGATTTTTTATTAATTTATATGCATTTTTGACATTGGGCTTCTCATAGGTTCATGAAGTGAGCATTGTGAAAGTTGTTTGGGTTCCTCCAAAATATGGTAGTGGAGTTGCATGCATTTGTGCAGATGGAACTTTGTCATTGTGGGAGGAGGTTGCTGAAGGTATCCAATGAATTTTCTAATGCATTTTCTATGTTATTTACACCCAATATCATAGTCTAAAATTAGGCAGTGTTATACATTGGCCAATTCTTTTTTATTTGCATTTAATATGTTCATCTTAGGAACAACTTTGTAGGTAACTCTTTGCTTGGGATTTCATTTTGGTTTGTTCATTGTTTGTTCTCTTTACTCTTTTCTCTGATAGATGTTATATTCTTTTTTTTGTGATCTTTTCATTTTAAGCCAAAAACACCCATCTTTGTGGCTCATGATTAAAAATACCCACAACCTCATCATTGTGGAGGAGTTTTCTGTTTAAAAATTCTGTTTGTGTACCATTTTCCTGTCTAATAATCAGGAAAAATATTATTCAAGCTTAGTATGCTGGAGAGCCTCCCATTTTGTGGCCTGTGAACAAAAGCCTCACTGTTATTTTGAACATTGTTTTGTCATTCTATAGATACAATAGAGAGGTGATGTGACTTAAATAAGATGATGTGATTTAAATAAGATAGTAACTTTTTGACTTTTTTAGGGGACTCCAAACCTAGCCTTAGTATCCTAGAGAGCCTCCCATTTTGTGACCTGTGAACAAAGCCTCACTGTTATTTTGAACATTGTTTTGTCATTCTATAGATACAAAACCCCTTCAATGGAAGCTTTGCAAAGGCTTTGAGACAAGTTCAAATCAAGTGCTAGATATGCAGTTTGGAGCCTCATTCACAAGTTTGAAGTTGGTAGGTATTGGCAATGGGTATCACCTCAGTTTTTCTTCATTTAATTTCTTAGAACTGCATATGGGGAATCAAGTTTGCTAGCCCTGTCAATGAAAATATGGTAATTTTGGTATTAATTTGTAGTAAAAAGAGTTTCCAAGCCTATTGATCAAAAAAAAAAAGTTTCCGAGCCCCTTTTTGGCTCTAAATGGCTTTGGGGTTTTCAAGCTTCTATATGTTTCTATATTTTAAGTTGCTTTTTAAAAGGCACTAATTTTCTCAAAGTTTTATTTCACTATCCTTTTAGTTGTAGTGTTCTATGGCAACACAGTATGAAAAGAAATTGTAAATTTTCATTTTGATGATGGCATATTTTGCTATGGTGTTTTGTTTGACTTCCTTTACAGGTTGCTGCATATTCAAACGGCTACGTGAAAGTGTATGAGCTCCTAGATCCATTGGAACTGAAGAATTGGCAACTTCAGGTGCTCTTTGTAATTCTATAATGTTACAACCTATATTACATGGACTCCTAAAAATAAATCAAATACTCATGTGACTTGTTGGACACCCAACACTTGGACAAGGGTGTGAGATATTCTTATGTATTTGTTAACCATCTCAGGCAACTAAATTCAGGTATTAAGTTGACGAACAGTGTTTACCAGGCATTGCCACCAAGCTGCTCTGTTTATGCTACAATATGTAATATATGTGATGAATGCACATACATAATACACATGTATAATGCTTATTGGTTTTCTTTGGTATTTTGACTCATACATATTTTAATATATGTCCGAAACTAATATTTTGTAATTGTTTCTCTAGGCAGAGTTTCAGAATGTTATTGATTCAGTCTCCAAATTTGGAAAGGCTGCATGCTTGTCTGCATCTATCTCTTGGACTCCACAAAGAGGTGAAAGCCAGCAATTGAGCTTTGTTCTTGGTTTCAATTCGAATGTAATGCAACTCAATTCTGCCAAGGTATGTTAAATTCTGTATGTGTTTATTCTTTGATTCTTTTTGCTAATATATATATATATATAAGAGAGAGAGAGAGAGAGAGAGAGAGAGGTGACGAAAAGACTTTTGATTGGTTTTGATATATAGTGGAGTAAAGTTTTTTTTGTTTGCTTATAATGTTTTTAGGGGTGATATTTCCCTTACCAATAAGTTGATTATCTAAAAGCTGAATTCTACTTTTTTATTATTAGTTTTAACTTATAATAAACTGCACCAAACAAGACCCAAGGGAGTATTTCGGATTTGTTTTTTTATTATTTTTTTGATTTTTAGTATAAAAAAAAATCATTTAAATTCATACAAAAATTATACTTTTGCATTCCACTTGACTAGAAAAATGAAAAAAAGTAAAAATAAAATTTTAAAATGTCTACTAAAAGATGAAAATTTTGACTTTTTGTACTTTAAGAAATAAAATTATTTAAGTATTTTTTTCTTAAACAAAATTTGGAGTCCCGGCTATCATAGGGGTGAGTTTGGCATCTAATTAACAAACAAAAAAAAAACACATTTTAGCTATAAAACAAAAAGATCATATTTTTATCATTTTTAGTTATCGCTATAATATCTTCATATATTAATTTAGGAAAAATTATCCAAAAATTCCATTTGGGAAAATGTTGCTGTATTTAATCCTGGAAGTTTTCTTTCAAACCAATTAGTCCTTTTATTTATGGTATATTGCGGAGTTTATTTGTTTACTCTTGAGTGTTATTTTGGTTGTAATTTTTTTACTAATGTTTGGTTGGGTTGGTTGTGGCATGGTGTTAATTTTTCCATAATTTTGAAAGAAAACTTCCAAGACTAAATACAACAGCATTTTTCCAAATGGAATTTTTGAGTAATTTTTCCAGAAAGTTATAGAAGGCATATTATGTACGCCTTTTTAAAGGTGCACATTGTAACATTTCCCTTTTATCAAATGGTAATCTTGTGTTGTGTTGTTTTTGATAAGCTTGTGTGAACTTAAAGGTAAGTCTTATGGACCAACCATTTCTCTCATTAAATATTTATTATTATTATTATTATTATTATTATTATTATTATTATTATTATTATTATTATTATTATTATTATTATTATTATTATTATTATTATTATTATTATTATTATTATTATTATTATTATTATTATTATTATTATTATTATTATTATTATTATTATTATTATTATTATTATTATTATTATTATTATTATTATTATTATTATTATTATTATTATTATTATTATTATTATTATTATTATTATTATTATTATTATTATTATTATTATTATTATTATTATTATTATTATTATTATTATTATTATTATTATTATTATTATTATTATTATTATTATTATTATTATTATTATTATTATTATTATTATTATTATTATTATTATTATTATTATTATTATTATTATTATTATTATTATTATTATTATTATTATTATTATTATTATTATTATTATTATTATTATTATTATTATTATTATTATTATTATTATTATTATTATTATTATTATTATTTTGAAAGAAAACTTCTATGACTAAATATAGCAACATTTTTCCAAATGAAATTTTTGAGTAATTTTGCCAGAAGGTTATAGAAGGCGTATTATATACACTTTTTTAAGGATGCATATCGTAACATTTCTCTTTTGGCAAATGGTAATCTTGTGTTGTGTTGTTTTTGATAAACTTGCGTGAACTTAAAGGTTAGTATTATGGACCAACCATTTCTCTCATTAAATATTTATTATTGTTATTATGTTAGCCATATGAAAGCTACTCCAAAAAAATAAAAATGAAAATAAAAATAAAACTTATGAAAGCTGCTTTAAGAGAATTTAATGTTCTTAACGTGGTTTTGGCTAGGTCGACCCTATTTATTTCAGTCGATTAAGGAGTGTTTGTTACACCCTAAATGATGATTTATTTTAATTGAAAAGTTTGTGTTAGATTGTTTAATGTAATTCTTACTTATATCTTATTAGGTGAAAATAGTTTAAATAAGTTAATTATCTAAAAGTCGAATTTTTCTTTTTATTATCAGTTTTAACCTATAATAAACTGCACCAAACAAGACCCAAGGGAGTATTTTGGATTTATTTTTTTAGTATTTTTTTGATTTTTAGTATAAAAAAAATCATTTAAATTCATACAAAAATTATACTTTTACATTCCACCTAAATAGAAAAATGAAAAAAGGCAAAAATAAAATTTTAAAATGTCTACTAAAGATGAAAATTTTGACTTTTTGTACTTTAAGAAATAAAATTATTTAAGTATTTTTTTCTTAAACAAAATTTAGAGTTCCGACTATTATAGGGGTGAGTTTGGCATCCAATTTAAAAAAAAAACACACACACACACACACACACATTTTAGCTATAAAACAAAAAGATCATATTTTTATCGTTTTTAGTTATTGCTATAATATCTTCATATATTAATTTAGGAAAAATTATCCAAAAATTCCATTTGGGAAAATGTTGCTCTATTTAATCCTGGAAGTTTTCTTTCAAACCAATTAGTCCTTTTATTTATGGTATATTGTGGAGTTTACTTGTTTACCCTTGAGTGTTATTTTGGTTATGATTTTTTCCTAATGTTTGGGTGGGTTGGTTATGGTATGGTGTTAATTTTTCCATAAAGCCAAGGAACTTCTGCTCTCTCTCTAGCCAAGAAACTTCTCCTCTCACTCTCTCTAAAGATACATAACCATCTCTACATCTCTCTTTTTTCTCAAAAAACAAACAACAATGGATTAGAAAGTTCTTCAATCAGAAACCCAAAACAATCACAAACCCAACAACTCTCTTGTAATGGATTGTGGAAGCTCACTCAACGACTCTTTCGAGCTCAAATCCATCGAACGCCAACTTCACTCTGCCATTTCTTCTAGAATCCTCTCCATTCCTCGCTTATCCGATCACCACTACCTGCCACCGCAACAACCACCACAACCCATCTCCAGAAAATCCTCAAAATTTTCTTACTCATTTCACAAACTTCTTCGATCCATTTTTAGCCCCAAACAAGCGAAAGCAGGATCGCAAGACCTATTTTTTGCTGTTTTCGATGGGTCAGGCTCGCTTTTGACCATTCTAGAAGTGCCGGCTAGTGGTGGTGGCGGCGGAATTTCATCGGAGTGTAAGTCAATGGCGGCGGCAGTGGTGATAAGAAAGTCAGCCTTTGAGCAGTTCACCCCCACCACTTCAAACAGTATTTCATGTGCTTGAAAGACCCAAAAAAAAAAAAAATTATATTATTCTGTGTTCATGTAGTATGTTCCCAATTATGTGTGTTTTTAGAATGTTGTTGATTATTATTTAATGAGTTTTAGTCGATTATAATGGTTTTCAGCTTTGGTTTGTGATATGTGAATCTTTTTTTGTTTTTTTAAGATTTGTGAATCTTGGTAATTATATGAAAAAAAAATTACATTAATTTTATACAAATTTTTACCAAAGTTGATTTTTTTTTTCTTTAACCAGAATGATACGATAGCAACATTATAATAATTAACAATCATTTTGGTAAATTATTTATTTTCAATTACTAGGCCCACAATGCAGTTACGTTACTTTGTATAATTTTTTTGAATATATATTTATTTGTATTATATTACTCAAATTATTTGTATTATATTAGTCAAATTATATTTATTTGTATTATATTAGTCAAATTTTTACTTTGTACAATTATCATTTCATGTGCGTTTTTTCAAAACTAAACCCCTCTCTCTCTCTCTCTCTCTCTCTCTCTCTCATAGTAACCATTCCAGAAAAACCATCATCAAATGAGGCCAACATTTTGGCCTTAGTGAGCTTAACCCTCTCCGACTTCGATTGCGCCACCATTGGAGGACTCTGCTAGAAAAGAAAACCATGAGAGCCTCTCATAGCCTCAATCCGCCAAGAAATCCGCCAAGAAAACTAAGAAAGCAGGGACGAAAATGAAACAACAACAACAACAAAATCAATCTTTTGAGAAGGAGTTACAAGAAATGCAAGAAAAGCTTCAACAGTTGAGGATCGAGAAGGAGCAAACTAAGGAGCTATTGAGGCAAGAGATGAGACTTTGAAGATGAAGGGGAGGAGCTTGAAACAAGGGGGAAAGAGCGAGAAAAGCTTCAGACGGAGCTCAAGAAGTTGTAGAAAATTAAAGAGTTCAAACCCACCATGGTTCTTTTTTTTTTCTTTCTCCCCTCTTCAATACGATGTTTGGTTACTGGGAAAATGAAGGAACTTTAGAAAGGGTAATTTTCTTACATTTTCTCAGAAATTGAACCCAGATTGACGGTTCAGAGTTGATGATTCTTGGTTTAGTTTTCCCCCTAAATTTTCCTATATTTTCTCGAAACAGAACAGAGAGAGAGCTAGAAAAGAAAGACAAGAAGAAGAAAGGTTGCCCTCAAATGAAAAGGTCACCTCCACCTTATATCCTATGGCTCAAAGATCAATGGAGGAAAGAGCAGGAAAGAAAAGGATCTGTTGAAACCGAAGCAACCAATGTCTGCGTTTTTCGCGTTCACAACTGAAGCCATGAAACTGTTGGAGGAAGAGCAGTATCTTCAATTGAAAACAAAGTAAATTCAGTAATTTTCTCTATATTTCTCTCTCCCTCCGTCTTCTTCTTCTTCTGCTCTCTCTCTCTCTCTCTCTCTCTCTCTCTCTCAAATCTTTGTCTCATTGAATTTCTACAGGAAAGAAAAGGATCCGTTGAAACCGAAGCAACCAATGTGTAGTGACCCTCATTCCTCACCATAGCCTCGGGCATGAGCATTTGTATAATCTTGTTTTGCTAAGTTGCAGTAGTGAATTTTCTTGACTTGTCTTAACTAGAATGAGATTTTGTCTTGGTTTGTACTTATGTGAAATCTACTTGTTGAGTCTTGTTCTTTTCTGATGAGTCTAGCCGAGGTCACCTTAAAGCCAGAACCACCTTGGAACCATTTTGGTTGACCTCTACCTTCGTCCTGGCATGTTGGCCGAGATGTCATTTTCTAGGCGGAGGTGTATCATCAAAGCCGAGAGGTGCATCATCTAGGTCGAGATGTTATCCTTGAACCCAAGTGATCTTGTTCCGGATTGGTGCGACCTAGACCGAGGTGTGGCACATCTAGGCCGAGGTGTGGCACATCTAGGCCGAGGTGTGGCACAGCTAGGCCAAGTGTTGTCCGTCCTAGCCGGGATCATAGATACCTCACCCACCGGAGCCGATGTTTTCACCCGATGTTAGTACCTTGTCAGAGTGCCATGCCGCTTTACTTGTTAAACACCCTTTCGCCATACTTTGTCTGGTCTGTCAGCCACCTTTTCAGGGAGAGCCAACCAGCCGTTGCCACGTGTCCGAGCTGAGTGTTAAATCAGCCGGCAGTGAGTAGAACCTTATTTTTTTGTATCATATCTTTGCCTTGAGAGAGAGAAGCTCTAGAAGGAAGAAGGAGTCTTAGAGTGAAGGAGTGGATCTTCGAGCTTGATTCTTAGAGATCTAACCGGTAGATTCGTGTATTAAGGTTAGATTCTTGACCTACTCTTATTGTTCTTGTTAATCATCTAGCGACATTGCATGATCGAACCTGATTTGCAAGCCATGCATTGATTGAAAGTTGGTTTTAGAGAGAGAAAGTAGTATTCATGTGTTCTTGAATAAAAGCCTTGTTTGATCCGAAAGTTCGCATTAAGATTCAAGCTTTTGTGTTTGTTTTCATAAGATCTTCGAGTATGAGTACCCAGGTCCATGTTTTTTTAAAATTCATAGCATGAAGTTCTAGATTTCGTAGTGACAAGTTAAGATTGAGCATTCATGTGTTTCATGTTCTTCATGTATGTTCTTCAAGAGAGGGAAACCCAGATTTTCCCGACTTCATTTCCTTGAATATGGCCATCAAGGCAACACCTCGGTGAGGAAGTGTGGGACCTCGGCCTAGACCTGGTAGTCGCCCAGCATGTTTTTCCGAGATAAGAAATAGTGTCTTATTTTGACTTAGCTTGTTTTTGAAAAATGCCGAGAACATTTGCATCCATGTAAAACTTGTTTGAAAGTCCATTCAATAGACTTTGCCATATGTTTGTAGGACTTGGACTCTCGCTTGACCCCGACATTAAAGAACTATGTGAGTGGTATTTTTGATAAAGCTACGTTATAAAGTTTTGATAAAGTTTTGCTTTGTTTTGAAAAGTATTTACTAAGCATGAATGACTATCCCTATTTGTGTATCAAGTATTAGCTTTGATCTTGACAAATCTTGAAAGTCCGTACGTGCTAGGGGACTATAAGCATTTGTAGCACAATCTTGAAAGTCAGTACGTGCTAGGGGACTATAAGCATTTGTAGCACAATCTTGAAAGTCCGTAAGTGTTAGGGGACTATAAGCATTTGTAGCACAATCCTTGTTAATGCCACCATGAAACTTGAAAGATTTTGATTGATGAAGCTCGATAGATTTGTTAGATGAACTCGATTTATCCCACGTTTGTCATAAGCTATGATTATGCATTGTTTTGTTAAAGATCTCGAATGTCATACATGCAAACCCTTTATTTCTTATACCATTCACTGAGTATCCAAGCTCACCCTCTCTATATATATATGTAGGTGATGAGCAAGAAAGCGGTGATGTTTAGGTGTGACTCGCGAGCTTGTTTTGGGTTTTTGTTATGTCGGCCTAACTTGTATTCATGTCGGTAGTCTTGAAAATTATGTTTCTCGGCTTATAATGCTTGTAATTTACACATGTCGGCTGGAGAAGCCTTTTGATCAAGATGTAAAATGTATTTTGTACTTTATTGTAATTGTATCCAAGTTGCAATATTATGTAGAGTTGTATGCCATTTCATTTGACTTATGCACCGCTCTTATGGACCACTTGTATTTTAGATTATTGCTTTCGTACTTGGGAGTCCCATATATTTATACTCTGATTGTGTGTGAATTTTGAGAGTCGGCCTTCGGTAATCTCGGATTACTGGCCATCACGGCACCAAGCTACTAGGGGCGGTTTGGGGTCATGACACAATGTCTGCGTTTTTCATGTTCACAAATAAGCGAAGAGCAACTCTGCTTGCAGAGAGCAACAGTGTCTGGAAAGTAATTGAAGAGGCCTTACGTTCAGTTTCTTGAATTCTTGTTATTGATCATATGCTAATTTGTAAAATTGGCATCGTTTGACAGGTTGCGAAGATCACTGGTGAAGAATGGAAGAACATGATAGAGAAACAGAAGTCTTATGAAAAGGTTCAATTAACTCTGTCTTTCTCTCTCAATCTCTCTCTCTCTCTCTCTCTCTCTGTGTCTCTGTAACAACAATTTCATATTTTGGGAACTTGCAGGTTGCAAAGCAAAATAAGGAAAAGTATTTGAAAGAAATGGAGGCTTACAAGCAGAGGAAGGAGGAAGAGTTTGCCAATCTCAAAAAAGAAGAGGATGAGATGAAAATTCACAAGCAAGAGCCTTGCAATTGCTCAAGAAGAAAGAGAAAACCGATAACATAATCAAGGTTTGGCCTTAGCACAATGAATTGTCGATACCTTCTTGTGAAGCTTGGCTTTTGTGACTGCTAAATTATGTGCCTGTTTGGTAGAAATTATTTACAGCTTATTTCAGCTTTCAGCTTAATTTAAGCTATTTTGATGTGTTTGGTTTAGCTTATAGCTTATAACTTATAGCTTTGTGGAAGTCAGAAATCAGCTTATTCTTTGAGTGGGGCAGGAGATGCTTTAAGAATGAGTGGGGCAGGAGATGCTTTAAGAATAAGCTAGAAATCAGCTTAAGCTGAAAGTTATAAGCTATAAGCTGTTTAGGCATAAACTATAAGCACTTTCCCACAGCTCTACCAAACAGGGCTTATGTATGCTCTTGTTACAAAAAACGAAAGAGAATCGCCAGAAGAAGAAGAAGATTGCTGATCCCACCAAACCGGAAAAAACTCGCATCCTCATTCCTTCTATTCAGGTCAGTCATTTTAAAATATGTTATAAGCACCTATATATATATACCTAACAAGATTAAAAGTAAATATCTAAAATTTTGGTCATTTTATTTTTATTCACAATGATGCTGGAATTGCTAGTAGTCGCGGATTGGCCATATGGAGATGAATCAAAGAATTACCAGACATTTACAGTAACAAAATGTAATGAAATTTGCTTTATATTTTGTTATACTATGTTATTTTTGTTGATAATACAGCAAAGAGGCAAGGAAGAACTTGTTGGAAGAGAGGCCGAGAATTAATAACTCTACCCTTAATGCCCTCATTTTAATGAAATGGAAGGTGTGAAATTTAACTGTCTGTTTGGGTAATTCTTTTTCTGAAAATGTGAAAAGAAGTACTAAAAATTTTGGTTTTGTACTCATAGGAATTGAGTGAAGAAGATAAGCAAACGTAGAATGAAAAAGCTGCAGGAGCCAAGGAGCCAAGATGGAATTGGAAGAGTACAACAAATCTGCAGCAACGGAGGAGGAAAACAACAAGAACCCACAACAGTAAAAAGCAAGCTTGAATATTGATGAAGGAGGCTCTACTTCTGTCAATGTGTTCAAAACTATTTCTTCTCGTGTTAACATCTGTTAACTACTACTGACCTCTCGGACATGTTAACATCGTTGATTTTTACTTTTGTTTTGGCCATTTGAATGTTGAATCTGTAGTTCGAGATTGAATTAGTATGATGATTCAAAGTAGTTTGCAAAATCAACGAAGTTGTGTTTTCCAAACTTTCCAACTTCTGTGTTGAATTAATTTGATGATTCAGATCAAAGTAATTCTCAAATCAATGAAATTGTTTTCTAAACATTTTATAACGCCCTCAAAATAATAACATTGCTCGAGCCAAGAAATGCAACTCTCAGGTCCAGAACCAGACGCAACACAACTCTCGCTCGAGCGACAACTCCTCGCTCGAGCGAAGGACCAAAAATCTGGGCAGCAACACTAGGCTCCCAAACACAACCAACCTGTAACCAACCTGCCCAACACATCTTATAACTCAATATACAAAGTAAAGAGGTTGCAAACTAGATAATAAACAACTACCAACATCCACGGACACATGTCCGGATCAATGTACAACAAGGGTAAACCCGGGATCGCTATACATTCCAACTTGTAAAAGAATCTTCCAAGGGATGTTCAGACTACTATACAACAAAAGCCAAGACAATTCTTTTCGTGTTAACATCTGTTAACTACTACCTTCCAAGGAATGTTCAGACTATATATCAAAAGCTAAGTCAAGTCTTTTCTATGCTTCGGGTCTTTTGCATATATCTAAAGAGTTATCAAGATTAAAATTGCAGACTTGCTTTGTTCAATCTGATGCCAAACAAGAAAAACTCACAGCTAAAAACTCATCATTTAGGCTTCTAAATTTAGATTTTTCAGTAAGTATATGGACACAGCCATATAAAAAATATGGGTTCCACACTCTGATAATATGCATAGCAAGATTATGTCGTTTTTCATCGTTTTAAGGAATTTCAAATATTTTTCGTAATTAAAATGTGTTATGTGGGTATAAATTAAAAAAAAGAGAGAGAGAGAGAGAGACAAAAATTGTTAATGGCATCCCTCTTTCTCACATAAGCTATAATAGGTGGTATTGAAACAAACTGTTGACACCATTAAATGTAAAATAATAAATGCAATTAATCGATATAACAAAGTGTTGACTTATTTAGTTTAGTTTATTTTTTAAATGTCATTTTTTTTTGGAAATTTCAACTGGCATCCATTTTTCTCATGTTCACTATAATAGGTATCGAAACAAATTGCTGACACCATTAAATGTAAAAAAATAAATGTAATTAATCGATATAACAAATTATTGACTTATTTATTTTATTTTTTAAAATGTAATTAAAATGTGTTATGTGGGTATAAATTAAAAAAAAAAAAAAAGAGAGAGACAAAAATTGTTAATGGCATCCCTCTTTCTCACGTAAGCTATAATAGGTGGTATTGAAACAAACTGTTGACACCATTAAATGTAAAAAAATAAATGCAATTAATCGATATAACAAAGTGTTGACTTATTTAGTTTATTTTATTTTTTAAATGTCATTTTTTTTTTTTTGGAAATTTCAACTGGCATCCATTTTTCTCATGTTCACTATAATAGGTATCGAAACAAACTGCTGACACCATTAAATGTAAAAAATAAATGTAATTAATCGATATAACAAATTATTGACTTATTTATTTTATTTTTTAAAATGTTATTTTTTTGAAGCAAAAATTAAAAATTAAAAATCATCCATTTGAGAATTAACTAGTTTAGTTGGATTTTTTTTACTTTTTATGGAAGGACGGGCAAAAATAAAGAGAATGATATAACTTGTACTGCTTTTTGGCAAAAAAACCAAAGTCCAAAACTATGGGTTATTTTGGAAAAATAAGTTAAAGAGGAATTTGTTTAAGGTTCCTATTATTAAGATTTTATAACATAAAAGACATGTAATATTTTTATAATGATTGCGGTCCCTCAACATTTTTCCAGAGAAAATTCAATTTAGAGAAATTTCAAACCAGAGAAATTTTTTGCTCAATTTCTTTGATTTTCTGTGTTTTGAAATTTCTCTGGGGGTTGAATTTTCTCTAATTTGCTCACAAATTTCTCTGTGATTTGCTCACAATTTTCTTTGTGTATTCAACTAATTTTCTCTGATTTGCTCATAATTTTCTCTGTGTTTTAACCAAATCAGAGAAAATTGTGTCTTTTCACAGAGAAAATTTACACAGTCCAAAGAAAATTCAAGCTGATTTGCTCATAACAACCAAACAGAGTTCAAAAATCAATATCAAATGAAATAAGCAAAGTCATGAAGAACAATTCAAGAAAGTAATTAATCTTTATACCGATTTCAACGCCAAGGATTGTATCCCGGAGACAATGATGTTTGAGACAAAAAGTCACAGCATAGTCTCATGTCCATACACAACAAGCTGACGACTGTGAAGATCCTTGTCGATCTCTGGCAGATTTCTATTTCCCAAAGCCATCTCCAATTCGACGCTACTGCTGGTGCTGCTGTGGTTACTGCTGTTGATGTTCCCTATGACGCCGGCGTTGCTTTTCACATTGCCACTGTCGTCTCCGTCGTTCGCGGTGGCGGAGGCCAAACTACCGATTTGATGCTTCTTGATTAGAGCTCAAATAGGTGAAGCAGATAAAAAGAGCCAGGTAAGAGAGTGACCATGAGAGAGAGAGAGAGAGTTGAGTGGGTCAGTGGTACAAAAATGGATGAGGAACCTTAAACATTATAAAATAATATTATGGATCTCTTCCATGACTAAAAATAAGAGAGGGGCCTTAGACTAATTTTTCTTAAGTTAAAAGTTGGCTTTTTAGTTTTTTTTTTTTTTATATAAAATGTGTAAAAAAATAAAGAAGTGATATGACCCAAAATAAATTAAAAGTCAAAAAGTGACTTTTTACCCGCTTGCCAAAACAAGCCATGTTTGACAAGTGCTAAAACAAGCCATGTTTGGGTTCGTTTGGGATGTTGGTTGGTTGTTTTTGGCTTTTTTAGAGGGCTAAAAAGCCTCGTCTAGGATAGCCTTTTTGGTTTTTTTGACTTTTGTGAGAGAAAAATTAAAATTATTATGCTTTGGATGTGACATTTTGTCTTATTAAACTAAAAAATATATTTTGACGTTTTATGACTATTTTAGCCAAAAAAAACCACGTTTATCATATGCCAAACGAATGCTTTGATTATTATTATTATTACTACTTCTACTTTTAGAATTTTTTATTCTAGAATGTAAATCAAAAAATGTCACTAAAGTTGTAAAAAAAAAAAGAACTAATCCCCACCTGACTTTTCTCAATAATAAAAAATTGTCTAAGCCTTCGTTTCGGATATGGGTTGGCTTTTTGACTTTTAACTTTTTAGTCTGGGGCTAAAAAATCTTGTTTGGGATAGATTTTTTGGCTTTTTTAACTTTTATGAGAGAAAAATTGAAATGATTATGGTTTCAGATGTGACATTTTGTTCTATTTAGCTAAAATAACCAATTTTGTCCTATATGGCTAAATTAGCCCAAACGGACGTGCCAAATAGAGCCTAAGGCATCAATTTCTTTAACAACAAGATCTTTATATTAAAAATAAAAAAATAAAATAAAATGAATTCATAGATTAAGACCTTTGAACTATCACGACTGCCTATTTTGGCAGCATGGTCAAAAGTTAGTTTTTTTATTTTTAAATTTTTTTAATCATATCATTTCTTTATTGGTTTTACTTTTCTTTTTTTTAAAAAAAAAATTAAAAAATCAGTTTTTAACCTCTTTCCCAAAGTATGCATAAAAATTTTCAATTCCATATATCTTTAGGAAGAAATAGTTGTGGATGGTGGTGTCCAAACAATTACAATGCAATAGTTAAAATTATGTGTTAATTAAAAAATAATATTTCTTTATTGGTTTTACTTTTCTTTTTTTTAAAAAAAAAATTAAAAAATCAGTTTTTAACCTCTTTCCCAAAGTATGCATAAAAATTTTCAATTCCATATATCTTTAGGAAGAAATAGTTGTGGATGGTGGTGTCCAAACAATTACAATGCAATAGTTAAAATAATGTATTAATTAAAAAATAATAATAACATTAAAACTCAATTTGTGCATTAAGTAGAGTTTAAACTTATAGACCTTGTAAGTAGGGGTGTTCGAGGTTCGGTTGCGGTTAAGGAACCTTCAATTC